TCCTTGAACCGCTCATCTTCCCCATCTGTTGGAAAACTTAACCAAAACAAGGTTGAAATTGTGATATCTTATCAAAATCACTTTCTTCTAGTTGTCTCATTTATTTTTTGTAAAGAACAAAAAATTCTGTGCTTCTCTGCACAATCGTGAAACTGTTACTTAGCCACGACCAAGAACCAAAATTTTTATTTGAGACTTTTCTGCTGAACTGCTGGCTGTGTTCAGACAAAGCAGAGAGGAGACAGGTATGGAAACAAATTTATAGGTGAGTAGTAAAATATCTGTAGTTTGTAGAGCCACAATTTCTAGTATTGGTAGCACCAATGGGAATGAGGAAAAATGCTGTATAGATTTTCAGTTTGCTCAGATTTTGAAAAAATAAATAATCAAAGAAAATTCTAATTTTTAAATAGCTTTTTTACAATTTCTGGAATAACAGTGTCAAACTGCACAGAAAACATTTAGGATTTTTTTCCCTACTTCTACTCATGATTGTGCTGTTCGAAATTGAGAAAATGGGAAAAATTTGAAAATGAGCCCACAGTGAAGAAAACTGTGAAGGAGTGAAAAATGCCCAGAAACTGCATGGGGTTCAGAGGGTGAAAATGCATATTATATATAAATACATTGGTAATACCAGTCCAGCTCCATAACATTGTAGAGTGCAGGGAAGCATTAATCTAGACCCACCAGAACAACAGAGTTACTGAAAAAAAAGTTTTATTTTATGTTTTTTCTTTACATTAAAGTGTACTCCAATGCAGTAAGATGAGTGATGTAAGATGGGCATTATTCTACCAGATATTAATACAATGATAGGTTTGTTGCTGTGGTGATGATTTCCATGTTTCAATTTAAAATGCAATCGCCTTTGAAGATGGATTGTTCCTATCTGTGAGCTTGTTATAATAATTTTCTGACAGAGGCCATTTTGCCTAACAGTACTTGCACTTTTGACTTTTCTGACGCATTTTTTTCTGATAATCTGCACTTTTATGTAAAAGGATACTACAATTTATTACAACTTAGGTTTAACTTAGGTATTCTGGCAATTTGTTCCATCGTTAATAGAGCATTAGATCATTAGTGACCTTACAGGTGCGCTCAATTTTATTTTAACCCTAAATTGTAGTGGTTTAGACAGTCTAATTAGACTGTTGTTGAGAATCTATTGGATCTCTTGTGTTTATTGCTCCTTTAAACCTATTTTTTGCAAAGTTTCAGGTTTTTAACATCACATCTATTACATACTTTGATGAGGACAATTTTACTGTAACTGTTGAAAAAAAGGATCTACAAATGTTTAACCCAAATTGTAATAAAATGTTTGCAGGATTTTTTTCATTGGAATGTAATATTCTTACATTTTGTTGCTACTACTTTCACTGAGGACATCTGACTCTTGGGTCAAGCAAAGCAGTGACGAGAGAGGGAGCGCAAAATGACAGATGAGCGCACTCAGAGAACGACTGAATGAGAATGAGAAATAAATTGAGCAAGAGTGGGTAAGAAGGAGAGGGAGAGAGGAGTATAAGAATGAGAGGAGACAGAAAAGAAAAGTAGTGCAACAGAGCAGCCTTAGGGTTACAAGAATGTGGAGGCTCTTGGGTTCAGGAGGGTTCGAAAAGTGTCTATGTGTGTGTGTGTGTGTGTGTGTGTGTGTGAAAGGGAGACATATGAGTGTGTGAATACTGGGGTGACTGAAGAGAGCAGCCCCAGAATTAATTACCCAATCAAGATAACAAGCCAGGGAAAGACATTAGGGAGGTCACACTACAATTAACCTCTTAGTCTAAACCTCTCTCTCTCTCTCTCTCTCTCTCTCTCACCCTCTCTCTCTCTCTCTCTCACACACACACACACACACACACACACACACAAAGTCATTGTTGTAGGTGTTTGCTGCAGAAAACACAGTGAATGAAAGTCACACTTGGACTGGCTTTTGCAGAGGATGCGATGTGCTTTTGAAGCATTGCCTGCACTCTGTTATTTTTGGGGAGGAAGAGTGACTTTACCTGTCCTGTTCCAGAAACCCTGGCAAAGCCATGTTGTTTACAGTGGGATATTGAGTGAGTCGGGGGCTCGAGTGGAGTGGAGTCGGATGTGGTTCACACATTCCACCAGAGACTCAGATTACACTCCAGGAAACACCGGCCCTGCAAGACACACACTGCCTGACTCTGTGATTTATAAACATACTGCTCTATGGGACACACACACTCGCAGAGACGCACATTAAAAATCTCAGCGACTCCCTCTAAACCAGTGCTGCACCTCCATCTCTCACTCACTTTTCTCCTTTCCTTTCCTTCCTTCCTGCCTTTCCTGTCATTCTCAGACTTTTAGCTATAGGCTCCTGTTTTCTCCCTCTGTTGCAGCTAACAATAAAGACAACAGACAGCAGAGGGCTGTTCGTGCCAAGTTCCCCATCATTGCATCGAGACAGTCATATTTGGTATCAGCTGGTGACAAATATTCCAGTGTTCTCTTTCTAAAAACTGACAAAAGATGTGATTAATATCCTATTATAATGGGGCCTCATTTTACACTAACTGTACTCACATGAAGCTGTTAACTCACACAACCTCAATCATTATAAAGTGCCCCATTCTGCATTAAGGTTGACTCTCTGTGAAAGACACACTTCAGTACAGTGCTTACCATTCATGAAAGAAATCTCTAGGGAGACTGTCCGCACCAGAAAATTAACAAAACTTACTTATGGGTATGTTTTCTTGATCCAGCTGACACTAGGCAAGACGGGGGGAAACAACACCCTGGACATATCACTACTCAATCACAGACTAGCTACATTGCAATGATCTGCTGAGAAACCTTGAGTCCTGCATTCACGTGGATGTCACTTTGAGATGTACCACCCACCTAAACGTTGCTGCAGATCAGGCACAATGCACATGTCAGCAGCACTTCACCATGACAGACAGCAGCAACCTCCCCCAGCAGGACTATATGATCTGCCACACTGCAAAAACAGCTCACAAACAGGTCGAGAAACACAACAAACAGGTCGAGAAACACAACTCCCCGTCCAGATCTCAGTCTGATTGAGCATTTGTGGGATGCAGTACAACAAGCCCAATCCAGAGTCGCTCAAACTCTCAACTCACAGGACCCAGGACATCTACCGCCAATATCCTGGTGCCCGACACCACTGGACCTCCATGAGGATCTAAGTGACTCTGACAAGGGATGAAATATGATGACTGGATGATTGGGTCAGAGCATCTCCAAAAAGGCACGTCTTGTGCAGTGTTCCAGGTATTAAACAGTTGGTATCAACCAAGAGTGGACAGCTGGCAACAGGGTCATGAGTGCCCCAAATTAACCATATCTCTACAAAATTACTTTCATATACAACTAACTACATTCTCAAGTGTGTCTTGAGAGGAACAAAGTTTTGTTTTGAAAAAATTTCATTTGTCACTTTTTATGTTGTAAGAAAGGCTGCCCTGTGATGGACATCAGATGCAGCTTCATTTTCTGCCGTTGTTTACCTTTGGTTTTTTATTCACTTTTCTATGAGACTTAGACACAAAACAGTGAGGTTAGACTTAGGAAACTATCACACTTCGTGAGACACTTTTACATTTTAGAAGGTTGGTTCAGGTTCGACACCAAAACACTGTTGGGTTAGAAAGAATATCATTTTTAGGTTAAAATATGACCCCTTCACAACATGTTTGAAGTTTCTCCTCCATTTTCTGGGCTACCAGGATGACAAGTCCCTCCTCATCTAAAATATGATTGAATGGCTGAAAAGTAGTAACAATAAAGCTATAAATTAATTGCAATAACAAAATACAATATAAGGTAAGAAAATAAGATATGTTGATCAGAAATGTGTTTGTGACAGATTACAAACGTTATCTTGTGGAGACTGGGTTGTCAAGGCTCACCGATGTAGATGAGGAGCAAAGGCTGACTCAATCAGTCCTCTTCCACAGAAGTTCTTCTGTAGCACAAATGGCTATAAACGTTATTTTTGGCTGTGTCAAACTGCATATGGGGATGTGTCGCTGCAGATCAATCACACAATCATGCTGACTACTGTCCACTGCGGAAAGTGCTGACAACAGGCACATGAGCATCAGAACTGCAACATGGAGCAATGGCCTGGTCTGATGAGTCACGTTTTCTTATGCATCACATGCATGGCCGGATGTATGTCCATCATTTACTATTGGTAACAGGTGCACTGGTGTAGGCATTGTGATGCTTACAGGGGTAACAAGCAGAAGGCTTTATGACAAATAGTCATGTTCAAATGTCTGCATACAGAACCTGTTGCAACTTTTAGGACCTGAACTACATTTGAAAAAATTATATTTTTACTTTACCTATCTCAAAATCTTCATATCACAACTCAACAATCAAACCAGAAAACTGTGAAATTTGCAAAACTGTCAGAAAAGCAGGAGCACAGGTCCAAGTTCACCATGGGTGCTGAGGTCTGAAAACCTGTCCACATCATCCCCTCCCTCTTCTGAGAATCCTCTGTGCATCTTACAGTCCAGCAGCCATGTTCAACTCTGGGTAATCAAGTCCAGCTGGGACAAGGGGGCAAAGACACAAGCTGACATAACTCACCCTTCTCTCCCTCACCTTGTCAACAATACTCTTTCGCTCCCTCTCGCTCCCCCCTCTGTCTTTCCTCCCCATCTGGCAGGTTTCTCTCGTCAGGGCCTTGGCTGAATAAGGCAGGCTGATAGCGCAGGAATCCTGGCCCACAATCCTCGGTTCTCCTTCACTATCTCTGGGGCAGACAACGGCCAACAAATTACCGTATAGTGCTGAGGATACACCTATCCATCAAGCCACAGACGTCATGGCACAAAACAACACAGTATGTAAATATGGGTGACACAGTGAGTAGAAGACTCTCAGACCACTGGATAGCTGCCCACAGCCTGAAGCAGAACTGCAGACGCTGCCTTGGCTTGGCGAGACCAAGCGTTTCTGCCTTAATAACGACCTACTTCTCTGTTTGCCACCAACTTTATCAATGCTTCTTTATATTTGTACACCTTTATATCCAATGTGGCTCCACATTGCAGCCATGTCTCTCTGTTTCTCTCTGGGAGCAGTACCGGGTCAGTCTGTGGGTTGGACTGCTGAGGGGCCCAGGGTGGTTCCGCTCTGACGGTAGGAGGAAACTCCTTCAGGAAATACCAAACTGCCAGACACACACACTCATACACACAATCCACAATCTCTCTTTCTTTTTCTAGCACAAGCAGTCTAATGCTTCTGCACAAACTGCTCGGGATAAAAAGCCCAGCACTCCTCTTTCTCAGTTTCAGCACTGTCGCTCTGAGACAAAAGAAGCTATCAGAAAACACACTTCTGTCTGGTGAACTCTAATATCCTCAGGTATGTCGGTTTGCATACTAAACCTGTGGCGTTACACAACCCAGAGTTTGGCTGACGGCCAGGTTTTTTATGGCATCAATTACAGCAAACTTTAACGAGTCAGCTCAATTAAACAATAAATCACTGTAGAACTGAGTTTTTGCCCTTGAGAGCCCAACCTCTCCACTCAGACTAGTAAAAGTTGATGGAGTTGTTTCCTACTAGAAGAGTGAGAAAATTAGGCATATTAGTGGCATGCAAGAAAACTGACACATTTAAACAAGATTTTTAAAAATGAACTCAGGCTGCTGAGCTGCCTCCTGGCTGCATTTTAGACAGTTCTGTCTATTGTTGAGCCACATCACATTATTTTGTTAAACATAGTTTTAAAAAAAAACCATGTGAATCTGGTGCTTTTTGCACAGAAATTTCTGTTGTTTTCATGGTACATTTATTTATGAACTTAACAGTAAGTTGGCATTAATGCAGAGATCCATTTAATTTCAAGACTATTTTCAGTATAAGTGAAATTGCTACACGACCAAGTAAAACCCTCCTAGCTTTAACTGCAGGTTTTCTCTTTGCTGCTAATGAAAGAAAAAATAATTTAAAGAGGATTTTTATACAGTTGGGGGAAGACGGAAAGAGAAGAGATGGGCTTCCAAACAAATAAATCATTCCCTCCTCATCTGATACTATTCAAATCCTTATAGGTTAGTGGTGACGCAACAGTTGCAGGCTGGTTTGCATGTTTTTTGGCAATTGATATCAGTGACGCTCTGCTCTTCTATAGAATGAAAGCTCTCTGAAGATAAGGTTCCTCTCATTTTCATATTTTCTTGAAATCTTATTGTGCTAAAACAATAAAGGTCAAGAGATAACATAAACTTATTATAGTAACACTATGTAGTTGAAACCTTGCAAGTGGTGCCAAGCTAAAGAACAAAGTCACAGTGATTTCCATCCTGTTATCTTCCAGATTTAATTTCTCTCACTGTTTTGATTGGCATAAATCACATTTGATGACACAACGAGTACAACTGCAATACAAAATAAATCTGTACAAGCTGTGAACATTACTGTGAAAGTCCAGTACTATGTTAACCATTATAATCAATACTTTAATACCTCAAAAAGGCCCTTTGATTTATTTTAAGCTTGAAATTCAGTGTTAATGTCTTGAGGAATAGTACTTACCTTCTAAAAAATAAAGTGAAAACGCAGGAGCCAGTGTTTTGGAGTTTGACCCATGTTAGGGCTTTGGAATAAGAAGACCTCTGCTGCGTTGATCTGTAACATAATTTGTCCTGACTACACCTTTAATAATTAAAATCGTGTTTACAGAATAAAACTAACATGGTTCTATACCAAACATCTGTTAAAGGAAAACCCGATGGCTTTGCTTTTTTGAAGTATTACAGCATTTTGTAGACAACATGGAAAATGTCTTTTTCAAATTACATGAATTGGTTAAATATGCCGTCTTCACTGCAAAAACACAGAGCTTAGCAAGTACTTTAATCTTTATACAAGCTTTTAAATGTAGTTGGAAAGAAGGCAAGTTGATGTGCTAGTAGTAGGAAAATGTCACTTGATTCTAGAAATAGCTTTAAACAAGTGGAACAAGTTGTATTTTATGTAATGGAATGTTTCACGGCCAGTGAACCTGGGGCAAAACTCTCAGGGTGCCACGACAGAGATTCGGGTTTACTTCTTAACTGTGCCAGTCCCTGCAGTGGTGACTCCAAATGCATTAAGACACGAGGAAGCAATCTACTGACCTGGCAAAACTCCCACCTGTCAGATATAAAGTAGCAACAAGAATTAATGTCTTTTTAAACTCCTAAATAGAGCTGAATTAAAAGATCAATATTACATTTTTCATTTTAAATTCAAAATGTTTTAACTGAATATTTCTAAAGCTTTATTACTAAAATCACACATTTCCCCCCTTTAGAACAGTTTTAACCCCCCCTTCTCTGCGTTTTTCGCTCCTGTCACATTTTTACTCACTGTGGACTCATTTTTCACTGCACTATGAAGTCTTGTATCTCGACAGAAATAGCACAACCATGATTAGAAAAACAGAGAACTCAGCAATGTCTTGCTACACTATGACACAGGAACAATGCCATTAATAATACATTTTTTTAAAAAGAGGAAAAGTTGAATTTCTATAAATACTTATACAAAAATTGAGAAAACTGGAATCAATATGTACAACATTTTCCCACAGGTATTACCAATACTGTAAGTAAAAAAAAAAAACTTGACTGAAACTTGATACTATAGATATTTTACTACCGACATTTTAAATTACTTTCCATACTTGGTTTATCAGTACAACTAAGCAGGCCCTGAATTTTTGTCCTGCGACTTTTGCTGAGTCACTAATGACTTGACAGTCATCCCGTGGTATACAGGACCTCTTGTTCTGTACAGAGTCTGGTTGGTTCAAATGATATATCTTTTCAGTGATTTGACAAGATATACCAACAGAATATCAAAGATGAGCAGTTTAAGAGCTGCTAGAAAGTTCCCCATCTGATGATTCTTTCTGTTTTTTAAAGTTTCTCACTCTGATAACTGATGTAAGTTTGGTCACTGTTAAGGACAACATGCCTTTAAAAAACCCTTGGTGGGTTTTGGGATTCAGTGGATTACACTAAGCCTTCTTTGTGCAATTTCTGTGAATTTCCAAAGATTGCACAATATTTGGTAAGTTTGTAGAAGGGTATTTTTTGCAATGCAGCACTGTAAAACAGAAGATACGCTGTGAGTCTTACTGCAAGGTCTAAAAATGCAAAGTGTCCACGTATATCAATGTTCTGTTTGAAATGTAGCCATATGCGCTTTGTGTGTTTTCAAGCTGCAGTGCTGTGGCTGACCACAGGAAGTTCTAATCAGCAGTGTGGCGTGGCTGCTACCTTCCCTTTCCCCTGGTGACCTCCTCCCCACCTCCCTCCTTCCACAATAGAGATACCAGGATCACATTACCGACTCTCAGGGTTAAGGGTCAATCCCATTTTTCAGCTCTCTCCGTCCCTTTTTCCCCTTAGAGATTCTTTCCCAGGGGTTACAGGCTCCTGTCACCTAAATTCACATCAGTTCACGCGTGGCAAGGGAGCGGTATCCATCGGAAACCCTCCATCTTCTCTCCCACACACTCTCCCCCTTTTTTCTCCACCCACACACCCATTTTAGTGTCCCCTTGACAGACAGCTCTCCAATCTCAGGGACCACTCACACAAAGAAGTAGACATGGTTAAAAACATGTTTAAAACACTGCTGACCTCTTTGTCTCATTGTGTTGGTGTGTCTCTGTTACACTTCGGCTAAATTCTGTATTTTTGTGCTGCAAAAGATCAGGTTACAAGGAGGTAACTCTGAGCCTGTGATGGCCTTCTGCACGAAAGCCAACCACTTTAAAATGAAAATGAAAAGTGAAGGAGGTATTTTAGGCAACTTGGGTCCCAGAAGTAAAATTGATATTTTGTTTACAGAAAATTTCCCTTTTTTTTTTGCAGCAACTTAACCTCTAACACGGAGCTTCTCAAAACTGGAATTTCCCAGAAATTTCTTGTGAGGTTTTGGTACTATGAATTTACTTGATTAAGTTGGCCTACAGTACTACTGCGAGGAACCTTGAAATCACGTTTGATCAGAATGTGTTGGTAAAATCACACATAAAACAAGTCTCTGCTCTCCTAACAAAACAAGACTTGTTTCACCAGTGCACTATGTCAAAATTAGGGCTATGTCTCAGAGTGATGTTGAAAAACTAGTGCATTTGTAACCCTTAAAGTAAACAGCTGTAATTCCTTATTATCAGAATGTCCCAAGAAAAAAGAGTTCTGACAGGAACCAGTAAGAGATTATATTTCTCCCATATCAGCTTCTCTTCATTGGTTCCCCATACAATCCAGAATAGATTTTAAAATCCTTTTTCTTCCCACATACAAAGCTCTTAATGACCAAGCTCTATCACATCTTATCAATAAGACCTTATTGTACCACATCATCCTAACAAGGCACTTCATTCTCAGACTGCAGGTCTACTTGTGGTTCCCAGAGTTTCCTGAAGTAAAATGGGAGGCAGAGCCTTCATATATCATGCTCCTCTGTTGTGGAATCAGCACCCTGTTTAAGTTCAGGAGGCAGACACCCTCTCTACTTTTAGTATTAGGCTTTGTTACCTATATCAAACTTTGTGTCTTCTCTCTCCCATACTTTGTGTTTTGTCCTCTCTGCAGATATCGCTGTGTCTAGAGTTGCAGGTTTGTGATTTGTTGTTACTGTCCCACCAACCTCTGCACTGCTGCTGTTCTCTTGTTTGTAGTCTTGTCCTATTTCTCTGTTCTTCTTTTGTCTCTGCCCTTTACTCTAACACCAGTTTGAGTTTTTTCTCGCCACTGCAGCCAAAGAGCTGTTCAAAGAGAATTATTGGAATTGTGGGTAAGATTGGCAAAAAAATCTTGACCGTAACATATGACTTATGTTGCGAAGTGTGTATGAATAAAGTATATGAACAAAATCGAGTTGAACTGACTTTTAATGTGATGAAACATCTGCATGGCTGGCTAGAATTAACAGTGCTGCTGGCAATGGCAAATAGTAACTGGACCCTGCACCTATTTTAATCTAAGGTTCCTGCAGTAGAAAAGGGATAAATGATCCTCACCGTAGAACAAAAGATACCACATCAAATTGATTAAATGCCCAAGGTCTGTGGACATTATGGCCTAATGTAATGGTGTTCAACAACCTCTTCCAAAAAGATTTCTGGTAAGAAACATTTGGTATCAGAGCCTAAAATTTTCTTGCATGCTCCCATGGAGAGGTCAAGATCCAAAACTGTAGACACATGAGAAAACTGCAGTTTTTATAAAATTTTAACCGAAGGTCAACTCTTGTTGAATTTCTTCACCATGCCGCTGTGTTTCTATTTGAAAATGCACTGAGGATATTAAAAGAAACCATTGAAATGCAAATTAACAGATGGACAGAAATGCTTCTGCAACAAGCTGCTCCTTCTACTTAACTATTCTAAAGATGTGGCTGATCGCAAGAAAACAAAGCAGAGTCAAACAAGCCACTTAGGATGATATACACATGGCTGACAGCCGAGCAATCCCTTAAATCATAGCTTCTATACTAAAAAAACCGCACCCAAACCTAACATGAGCATAATGGTGAACTGTGCATGAGTGTGCTCTCCCTCAACACAAATCTGCTTTTGATCATGTTGTGGTTTCTCAAGCACATAATCCCTTTTAATTACGGTTTGTCTCTCAATCAAACATGAGAGCAAAAGCCTAATGTCACTGAGACTGACAGGTGATCATTTTCGCACACACTTCCCAAAACACCACGCTTAAATTCCTACGTGTGTGTGTTGGACACACTTTTCTATGTTAAATGCAAGTTCTATTCTCACAATTTGCTAATTTATTTAGCAAAGTGAAAATAGTAAGTGAGAATAAATCAGCCAAATGAAGGCACCTGAATCACAGGCTATCTACTCAGTAGTCTTTTTATGCAAAATAAACATTGGCATTGTGTTTTGATCAAATCATCTTGTCAAGAAAGTGAATTGAACTGAAGGAGAGGAAGGAAGGAGAAAATGACTTTTGACGTTGGTGTAAATGATCAGAAAGGAAGTTGAGACCAGATTGGCCACCATCAGATAAGCAGGCCTATGGAAATGTGAGTACAAAGATGACGAACATACCACTGTTGTTGTTACCATTCCCCCATCTTCCCATTCAAACACCTCACTGGTTTAATGTATGAATGAATACAAGACAGAAGCTAACATTGTCCTTTTTCAGTTTTATCATCATTCCCACCCACTTTGATTGTGGTTCGGCTAAATATTAACAAATCACTTTGATTTTTTTTAAGACAATGAATGCACAGTTTCAATAGATTCCGAAAACAGAAAAAAAACAAAAGACAAACTGTGGATTGCTAGACAGCTTTAGGGAGACCATAGCCTTAAGATTTCAGTTTCATACTGGTTGAAAGCTACTGGAGTAGTAAAGCCTTCATACACACAGCTGAGTTTGTCCAGGCTACATTAAAGCTAAGGATGTCTGAGACTGATCTACAAAACTAATCAAACCATTTGTCAGTCATAATACAAGGCCTACAACAACAAACAGTTTCAAAAAAATATCCTCAATGGCAGCAGGCAATCTTAGAAAAGTAAAATGTTGTTTAACCCTATTTCAATAACACTAAGGAGCAGCTTTTTAAAAATATCCATCTGATATTTGAACATTTTGTTTTTGTCACATTTGTCCATAACTTGTGTACAAACTTCTTTCCACGATATCATGCAAAATATTTGAGGATGCATGAATATTAAAATATAAATGATAATAGCAGGAATCCTGTGTTACAGCCTAGAGTTTCTCAATGTAGCAGTATTTAGCTTTCAAAAATAACTATATTCTGTTTACCAATTTTAATGAAAAACTCAGGCACTCGGACTAACAACACAGTCAACATTAAAGGACTGAGGTTTCTGAGCTTTGGATGTTTTTTTTTTTTTACAATCATTATTCATATTTAATCTGTATGGAATCTGGCTGACAAGCTTCAATGGTCACTGACAACTTTCAAGTGAAAATGTGTAACCACTTCTGCAACCTTGTCTTTCATTGTTCTCTATCATTTTCCATTCAGACCAGCTGAGAGTCTGGCTGTCAGCGATCTTTCCCAACAGAGAATGGCTTTACTGTGAACCATCTTGGAAAAGAACACCCAATTCCTCCCTAATATACGGAAACCTTTTAAAATAATGCTAATATTTCATGCTTCCTTGTGTGAAAGTACTGTGGGCTTCTGCCAAACATCCAAACTCAGTACTGATAGCCCGTTTCGTGTGTCAAGTGCCATAAATTCAGCCGGCGGAGCTCGACAAAGCTTGTTCAATGGATAAATCACACTGCACATAAAAGCCATTTGCTTCTTTATGTCTGTCTGGTGTTCAAACATTCACCTCTATCCATCAATGAGGCAAACTGCTGTCAGAACACCAAGGTCTCTCTTTACCTCACATTTCCCCTTATCACTGGCTTCTACCAAGAGGAATCTGAGGAATCCTGGAGCTCAGTCTATTTGCCAACACCCAATATGACAGGGTGAAACACAGACACATGCTGCTTTTAAAACACAGACTAATTTCTGGCACATAAATCACACAAATTGATTGCAGATGCTGGTGCTAACTGCTGCTGCTGAGAAACAAGTGTGGACTAAAACCAAATAATTGACAATGATGTGTGAATCTGAGCACTGGGACAATGTTTGCATGATAATAAAGTCATAAACTGGCTCACAGCCGACCGCCACCTCTTCTTGTTTTAAGACCTGTAGTGCGGTATGGGAACTCCACCCAGGGAAATGGCCCGAGCTTGCTGCCTCAGCACTTCTCCATCCAAATGGCTGCGGTTCAGTTAGAGGTCTCGCTGCCTCGGTCCCGAGATGAAGCACCTCAGAGAGCCAGCAGTCCTAACCGGCCCCCTGGCTTCCACCGCCGGCCTCTGACTGACACCACTGCACTGCCAGAGACGTAAAGCAGGATAATAATAGCTGCTCATTCCTCCCTATCCCTGCCGACCAGACATGGCCAGATTGTCCAAAACCATATTTAACTGAATGATAACTGACAAATGAAGGTGAATACCTCAGCTTACAGCCTCAGTGAAATCAGATCTATGAATTCAGCTCAACATATTTAGCGGGTCATTATCTTGGCAGGTCACTGACTCTGACTGATGGATTTTCTGACAGCCCTGTAACAGAAGTAAAAGACTCCCATGAAAGAAAACCTTCTGCTTTATTCATTATGGTGCTGTTGCGTTCGTGGTTTTGTTCATCTTTCATTTGGGTCATTATAATATTGTACTAAATAGGTTGATTGCTAAATAGTTTTCAAGCTTTGGTACTGAGTGCAGAGGGCATCAGCAAACTGCTTGCCTAAAAGTGAATTGTCTAACTGATGCGTATAGGATCACCACATGGGCTGTGTACTGGGAGCTGTCATGGTCCTCTACATGGTAAAGCTGTGTCTACTTTCTTCTCATGAGTCTGTGCATTCTTTTTGGATACATAAGTGTGCCGCCCTTCAAGATTTATCTGATTTAACAATTGAAGTAGTACATAGTCTGGTCTGGTCCGGACTTAAACAGCTAAGGGTATCTTGTGAGAGCAAAACAGTGTACTGAAACCAGGTTAAGTGGGGCTCCCTATTTTTTTTTAAACTTTGATTGACAGGTATGTAATTTTGAGACAAGACAGATTCGAAAAAGCCTTTTCTGCTGATGTTTTGTGGACAAACACTGCTACAAACAATGTACGTTCAAATCAGGACTTCTTCAGTTTTTATTTCAAATAACCAAGCTTTAGGGGACAGAAATCGTCATTGACTAGATGCCAGTTATCTCTACAAACAACTACAAGAATGAAAATAAAACCAAAAGTCTAAGAGTTGATTTTTCCTTTCAGTAGTCAAACAGAGGATGGGTTCAAGAGCCTCTTATGTTCCTCAAGCTTCTCCACTGAACACCGAAAGAGAATTCCAACCTAGTAATGGGAAACTGAAATACCCACCATAATTCAGGCTTCATTATGTAGCAGCTATTGTGCAACAAAACAGACTAACTTAAAATCTTCTCTGGGGCACAGGGGGCAGTGTATGAGTTACTGCCTGCCAAGAGCCAACACGTTGGTGAACACACATGTATGTGGGGCCATACCTGTTATTCTCATTGTTATGAAGAAGATTTTTTTCCATAGTGGGATCTGACAGTGGGGTTTCTGCAATTTTACTGTAAGTTGCCCAACACTAATGTTACTGTGTACTAGAAAACAAGTAAAAGCAGTAATTGGTGTAAAGATGAGGTAGAGTCAAGAAAATAAAGACAATCTGCAACACTTCACAGCAGCTTGTCTCATTCTGTTCAGATCAGAGGAACTGCAATAACCATTCTGTATGTTGGAGACAGCGCTACAAGGACCCTGGGAGTGGATTTATGAGGTCTGGACTGCCTGCTGGAGTAAAATGAAACTTAAAACCAGCTCTGCTTCTTCAGTGAGGCCTAAACACCAAGTACCTTCTGTCTACAGCTACAAGAGACAAACGTACTTATTGCAAAGGTCAGTATGTGTCAACCAAAGTGCTTGTCAATGGTTAACAGTGTCTACAAAACCTTCTCCACCACCTTTTTTAAAACCACAATTTCTGCCACAC